GTGGGCTTGCTCCAAACACTTGCATAATGCACACACCAGAAGTTCCATTTGGAACAAATCCATATCCTTCAAATTGCCAAACTCCCGAAGAGTAATTATAGCCCTAAGAAATAAGAATCAAGTATTGAGTAAGCCCAAAATTTGTTGTCTCAATTAAGTGTGCTAGTTGATAGGAGAAATGGTTAAAAGACAATACTCCACTTTTATTTGTCTTTTAACACTTGGCAGTGGCAAGCCTTAGTATAATACAGTTATTCTTTGTTTTTCCCTTCTTCAATAGAAGTGTTTAGTGAGCTAATTGAACCCAAGAGCCAGTCCTTCTGGGCAGACTAACACTTGTAAATTGCATAGATTTGTAATAAATTCTGAATTACATGGCAAACAACAGGAGAAACCCAGCAATGAATTTGATAGGGATACAAAAGAGGGTGTAAAATAATTATAAGTGCAATCATAAGCATTTTCTCAGTTGCTCTAGATTTTGCAAAATTCGGTTGCTCTAAATTTTGCAAAATCTGATTAAGTATAAAAAGTAATAGTAGAGAATAATGAGAATCAGCCAAAGTTACTTTTGGTAAATTGTTGAATTTACTTTTTTCTATTATTAAAAATATATAATTTAAATACCGAAGCAAATGAGGGTATAAGAAATTGATTATTCAAAATTAAAATCTTTAATCAGCTAAATAATTAGCCAATAACAAGTCCATAATACCCAGATTGTGAAAGCGAGCCATCTTATGAAGATTTTGAATAACAATTATTTTCACATTTTCATTCTATTTTAAATATTGGTATTGAACAAGGAAATAAGTACTTAAAAAAATGGAAACAGAAGAAAGAGACAAGAGAAGAAAGAACCAGTATAATTTTTCTTAAGTATCAGAGATAGTCCTTTATCACATAGAATTCTTGCTTCCTCACGAACAACAGTAGAAGATTATAATCACCACATGCTATACCATAGAAGAAGATACATAAAATTGTGGCTGAAAAAAAATGAAGAGAAAATTCTTTAATCATGAACAAAGTTAAGATAGAAAAGGAGCATCTGTAAACTTTCATAAGAATCATTACTACATTAAAACAGCAAAAATAAATATGCAAAGCACTAAGAATCAAAACCTGAAGTAGTGAATGAGAAATTAAATATAACCCAAAAAAAAAAAGAATATGAGGAATTTACGTTGATCATAATTTCCGTACGTGGCATCGTGGGACTATTCCGAGACAAAGGGTTATCTGTGGAGTAAACCCAAAGTTTATGGACTCCATCTACGAAGCTGTATCTTTGGTCTACAGGGAGGTCAAATGGTTTCTGAATGTGATAGAAGGATGTATTAAATGGGAGTTCAACAAATCCGTCAGTTGGATCAATTGAGCATGCTGTGGCAAGTTGAGAAGTACATAATAAAAAGGGCAGGAAGAAATGAAAGATTAAATGGTAAGAAATAGCCATCTCTGTCAATTGCTTCATGCAAGAAATTTTGATATTTATAGAGCCTTAACCACATCATGATTCCGGACAATATACATGTAAGAAAAGATAGATGTAAAGTGGCCGTATACAATACTCTTAGTGTGTGATGAAATCTCAAGCTTTCAAAATCATGCAAATGATCTCAATTCATTGATATAATGACTTTACATTTTGGACCTCTTTCTTGAGAATGATAGCCACACTTTTGTGTTGTTTATTGAAAGTAATAACAGCTTGTGCCATGATCTCTTCCGTTTGTATGGGGTTAGTTAATTGGTAAGAGCTCTACACATGATGAGAGATATATTTTTACGATTTTGGCACTATTAAACATTGGCTATTTAGTCCTTGCTTTTAAATATTGCCGCCCTCCATCATTAGGATTTAGCTTTTTAATTAGTCTATAAAATTTAATTTCGAATATTTTTCCTATTATTGGTGAATTATATCGAGTCTCCTTGAAACTATTTCATTCTTTGAAAGGTTCAATCTACAATTTAAGACTTTCTTAGAACAAACTTCTCACTTGCCATGAGATCTAATAATAAAAAAAAAAAATCTAAACTCTGTTTAGATGACATTATCTTGAGTTTAGTTGCATTTTCATCGCTTCAATTAGACATAATTTCAACTTTTTTTGGAGGGAAAATAATTTTTTTAGTTTAAAATTTTAGATGTTTGTGTGGCTTTAAAGGATGCAAGTAGTTATTATACCCAAGTATTAATTACTTGAAATTTTTTGTTTACGAGACTATGTCTATTTCAATATTTTTATTTTTTCTTTACGAGACTTTGCCAGTTTGGTCTACAATGGTCAATGTGCCTCCCCAAAATGTTACAGCAGTATTTGGTCTTTTCTTGACAAAAGCATTACTTGACTTGCCTTTTAGTGACAAAAATTAAAGACATTTATACACTTTCTTCTCATCTTCTATCTTTCCTCGGGCTCTTTAGACATATTAGAATAGAAAACTTATCTAACAATCCACAAAAAAAAAAAAATAATAAAAAAAATTGAAGAGTATTTTGCCTTTCTCTTAAACTGTTTATTATAGGTATATTTGTCAACAGTAGTATCGAAAGGCCAAAAAAAAAAAAAAAAAAAAAAAGTAGTATCGAAAGGCCAAAAATTTATCTGCCATTTGGAGGCAATTTCTCTCCAACGATCAATCCCAATTTCGGATGATCCCAAGAAACCAAAGAAGATTCATCAGATTGGGAAAAAAATTTAGTGCCATCATCGAACAGCTAATATTCAAATTAATAACATATCAGTAAGTTGGTTTTTGAGATTCAGTTCAGCGGGTATAGAAATTTAATTCTCAAAATTTTCAAAAATATTGATTTGGTAAATGAGCATGTAAATTAACTTTTTTTTTGGTAAATGAAATTTATTATATTGCTCTCCAATTTTTGTGACGTGCTTATTTGTCCTTTTTTTTGGGTAAATTTCACTTTACCCCCCTGTGGTTTAGTAATTTTTTACATAACCCCCTTATGGTTTCAAAAACTATATATAACCTCCTCATGGTTTGGATTAAAGTGTCAAAATGACGGAAATGATTATTCGCAATGAAGTCACCTAAAATGTCAAAAATACCCTTATGTAAAGTTGAAAATTATTTATTAACTAAAGAGGGTTATGTGTATATTTTGAAAACCATAAGGAGGTTATATGGTAAAGTATTAAACCATAAAAAGGTTATATGGTAAAATATAGGGTAAACTCCACTTTACCCCCCTGTAGTTTACCCTTTTTTTACATAACCCCCCTATGGTTTCAAAAGCTATACATAACCCCCTCATGGTTTGGATTAAAGTGTCAAAGTAACGGAAATAGTCACTCGTAACGGAACTTCTAAAAATGTCGAAATTACCCTTATAAATACATGATACATTAACCCCCTATGATTTTTATATTTTACCATATAACCCCTTATGGTTTAATATTTTACCATATAACCCCCTTATGATTTTCAAAATATACACATAACCCCCCTTGGTTAATACATAAATTTCAACCTTACATAAGGGTATTTTTGACATTTTAGGTGATGCCGTTACGAGTGACTATTTCCGTTATTTTGACACTTTAATCCAAATCATAAGGGGATTATATATAGCTTTTGAGACCATAGGAGGGTTATGTGAAAAAACGCTAAACCATAGGGGGGTAAAGTGGAATTTGCCCTAAAATATAAAAATCATACGGGATTAGTGTGTCATGTATTTATAAGGGTATTTTCGACATTTTTAGAAATTCCATTACGAATGACTATTTCCGTCACTTTGACATTTTAATCCAAATCATGAGGAGGTTATGTATAGCTTTTGAAACTAGAGGGGGTCATGTAAAAAAATGCTAAATCACAGGGGGTAAATTGCAATTTGCCCTTTTTTTTTTTTCAATCTATAACTGCTTCATCATTCAGTTGAATTGTTTTTTGTATACTGAATTTTAATGGGACAATAAGGGCATACTTTTTATAGAATCTCGTATCCTTTCGTCTTATAGGTAACTAATCATATTCGTTAGCTCGCCATTTAAAAATTTTGGGTATTTCACTGGGGACGACCACTCTACATCTAAGCTTCCAATGTTCCTCAATCCGTCAAAGGGCTACTTCAACAAGATTGAGTGCTGAACTGTATTCAAGTTGGCCTGAAATGGGAAAAGAGAAGTGTGTATGCCACGTCCCTTGTAGTTATTTTGTATTTCTTTTCTTTTTTGGATAATTAAAAATTTGGATAATTTCGCTTTAATCACCATCACGAGTCAGGTTAGGCCTTGAAATTATATATAGGTCACTTAAAGGGTATTTACAAATGATTTACTAATACAATTCTCACATCGATAACACGATTTTAGTATATGATTTTTTTTATTAGGGCAAACTCCACTTTACCCCCCTGTAGTTTAGCGTTTTTTCACATAACCCCCCTATGGTTTCAAAAGCTATACATAACCCCCTCATGGTTTGGATTAAAGTGTCAAAGTAACGGAAATAGTCACTCGTAACGGAACTTCTAAAAATGTCGAAATTACCCTTATAAATACATGACACATTAACCCCCTATGATTTTTATATTTTACAATATAACCCCCTTATGGTTTACTACTTTATCATATAACCCCCTTATGATTTTCAAAATATACACATAACCCCCCTTGGTTAATACATAAATTTCAACCTTACATAAGGGTATTTTTGACATTTTAGGTGACGCCGTTACGAGTGACTATTTCGGTTACTTTGACACTTTAATCCAAACCATAAGGGGGTTATGTATAGCTTTTGAAACCATAGGGGGGTTATGTGAAAAAACGCTAAACCACATGGGGGTAAAGTGGAGTTTGCCCTTTTTATTATGAAGAAATGGTCTGTTTTCAACATTGACAGCATCCATGTCAAACTTTTTATTACTTATAACAGATAACTTTTATTCCACGAAAAGAAAATAGGCATTAACATTCCACACTTAAACCAAAGCCCAACATATAGATCATAAAAGAAACAAATTACATTTTTTTTAGGATTTTGATTCCTTTCCACCTAGATTCCATGTAGTAAGAAGCATCAGGTTGTGAATACACTCCACACTTGAAATAATGAAATTTTCCACCTCTTCCAGGTGCTTCAATCACTTGAACCCCATCAATGTAAACCGTCACTTTGCTGGCATCTGCATCATGAATTACATTGAGACGAAACCACCTATCATAGATGTTTGAAACTAGGACAGGAGCTCTATAGTATGAAAGGGTTCCATTGAAAAGTCTGAGCATTAGAGTTGTGGCATGAGGGCTTGCTCCAAAGACTTGCATGATGCAGACACCAGAAGTACCATTGGGAACAAATCCATATCCTTCAAATTGCCATATCCCCGAAGAGTAATTATAACCCTGAGAAGCAAATCAGCACAAAAATTAACATGTCACATGTTGTATTTCACATGTAGCAAAAGGATTTTTCCCGTCCATACATGCAATTCAATTTGTACTTAAATATATATTTTCTTGATCTAATTTCATACGTATTTATAAAACTTGGTACACTTGTTTCTAAGTATCATGTGTTACTCCATAGACTATGCTACGAAAAAATGTGCTAAAATTCAAAACAAAAAAGGGCAATTATGAAATAGTTACTCTAACACTAATAATATTGTTTTGCTAATTGATCTATATCTGTTAACTTAAGATATGGGAACAGAAGTGTAAAAACTGGAAAAGAATTGGAAGAGATAAAGGGATTAATAGTGATTTACTTGGATTATAATTTCTGTACGAGAATTTGTAGGACTATTCTTAGCTAAAGGCTTGTCAGTGGAGTAGACCCAGAGTTTGTGAATTCCATCAATGAAGCTGTGTCGTTGGTCTACAGGGATATCATATGGCTTCTGGATGTGATAAAAGGATGTATTAAATGGGAGTTCAACAAATCCATCTGTTGGATCAGTCGGTCCTCCAATAGCAAGCTGAATACTTGCTAGAACAACGACTAAGAGGGAACAGATGATATTGTGGTAAAAGCTGCTACCCATCTCTCGACCTTAAGACCAAGAAAATTTTTGTGGTACTTATAACAACGTATTGAAAGTAACAATGAGAGAAGAAAAGTTGGTGCTGCATCGGCAATTGTAAAGGCGATTACATGACAGTGTTATCTGTGATTTAGATTGGGTCGCGTTTAAATTGTCAAATTCATTTTTTGAAATTCTTTTTAATTGTGCGGTCTCGATCTATGCAGCATCAGCATGGCCGAACTAATGAATATGAAATTCCATTTTGAAAACGTACCAAAAACAACAAAGTAAAAGTTAGTTCTTTGACCATTGAATTATTACAACGTTGCTTTTTTTTTTTCTTTATTCTTGTGAAATGGTACATATGTAATAGCACAAAGCCGGTACATAATAAGTTATGTACGTAATCTGCAAATAATACTTGCATGTATAAGAATTTCAGTACGAGCATGTGTTTTGCTTGTAGGAGTATGAGGTTTATCAGTATTATAAATCCACAACCTATGAACTCCAACAATGAAGGAATAACGTTGATCTTCCGGGACATCGTAAGGCCTTTGAATGACGAAGTTTGATTGATTTAGAGGCAGAGGATCGAAGCCTTCAGTCGGATCAAACCCCTTCTCACCCTCTGCTTTGTGATCTAATGCTATCTTGATGAAAAGGGTGATAAAAATGGTTAAGAAGAAGGAATTTGCCATGGCTTGCTGGGCCATATATTGTGAAAATTGATCTGTATATAGTGTAGAATCTTGACTATGTATAGAAACCTAGGAATGCATGGGGATTATGTCTAGCTGAAGTTGCACGTAAAATAGCTTCAAATTTTAATTTCAGATATAAAGGAATTGAAGGTTGTTGATTTCAGTATTTTTTTTTCTCAAAGAAAATGTGTCAGCCTTACCAGTTTGTATGAATTTTTATGTTAATTATCCATGAAAAAACATGTTAGTTAGATACTTCAAGAAAAAACATGTTAAATATCAAACCCCTTCTTTTTCTTTTTTAATTTTTCCTCCTTTATCATTTACTCATGCTAAATCAATTGTATTTATTTAGGACCAAATATTTAACAAATGGAAACAAAGAAATATTACATCTTGTCTTTTTTCTTTTCTTTTTTTTTTTCCATTTTTAACAAGTGATGCTAATAGACTAGTATTTTATAAAAATCACCTTATTGGTACGGCTTGAACAGTTCATTTCAGGAGTTTCAATAGCTTTTCCTACTAAGGAGTTCAATAATTAATACGTGCTAAGACTCACATATTTATTCAATGAGCCATGTATAACATAATTTGAATTGTCAAGAAATTCTCTTGTAATTGTGATAATCTTGGATTTACAATGGAACCAGTCTAGAACATGACCGGTTTCAACTGTAATTTTATATATTCCTCGTATAAAAGTACTTCTATTTTATCCCAAGAAAACTGAAGACGAGATAAGTACAAAAGTTGCAGGCCAGCGTTTTGGTTTTAGTTCTCTGTTTTTACTAGTTGACAGCTGATAATTCATTGAAAAACCAAAAACATGAAAAACAAAAATAAGCAAAGAAAAACGAACGTAGTCATCTGCCTCTGTTTAAATCAGGTGCGTAAGAACGAGTATAAATTAATTCTCCAATTCCCATTTATAACTTCTCTGTACATTCACCCTGTGAAAATGACAATGCAGGTATCTGGACAAGAATCATTTTGGTAAAGTAGAAGTAAAAAAATCATGTGAAATGAGGTTTGAATAATTTTTTCCTTGGATCAAAAAGTGATAAAAAAAATTTATTTGTCTTCTTGTATCTTGTCATATCATACCTTCTCCTTCCAAAATTGAACTTGTTTGTTTGATCCAGTTGCATTAAAATAGACAATGATTTGTAATCTGCTTTACACATAAACAGACAAATATATGTATCATATGTAATTTGGACAAGTCAAACAAGAGAAAAAGTCAAATAGAAAAGCTCTAAAAACCTTTTAAGATTAATGGTAAGAAACTTACAAAATCATGTGAAGAGCAGTTAGCAAGAACTTGACCTTTTTCCATAAAGCTAGTTTAAAAATCATAAACTAGTCTTCTTCTTGTTTGCTGCATTATACACTTTATCCCTAACCATGACAATGTAATGACGATGTGACATTTTGTTCTAACTATGATCCCTAACTTTTTTGACCTGTTGCCCGTCATTATTGATTTGTATGGTTTTAGTTACTAATCTTATTAGCAAAATTAGCAAGATAAAAGATAGTGCAAATTAATGATAATGTATTGTTCTATTTTTGTTATGATACCTTGCTACCTTTGGACCGCCTTCAGCACACGTTATCATTGATTTGTTAGGTCCTCTATACCATTAATTTTCGCTAAAGCTGTCATTGACTATATTTAAATAAGACAAACTTGAGAATTTAGGTTGCAAAGTGTCCAAAATTAAGAATTTAGCATATAAATTGTTTAAAATTAAAATTTATGGTGCAAATTGAAAAAATTATACAAATTCAGGGATGCAATGTGGAGTTCGTCCTTTGAATTAAGAACTTTCTAGGTTTAATTTAAGTACCAAATAATCACCTCAATTAAAAGCATAGGTTAGTATGTATTACTTCGGATTGGAAGCAAGAGTGCTAAGAAGCAGAGCCAAAGATGATATTAAGCCTTTTTTTTTAAGTGATCAAGTAGGATATCATATCAGCTTCTGCTTTGAATATGCTTTTCTTGCCTTCCTAATATGTTTTATGACTTGCATTAGTTATTAATATTCAAGAGACTTACCTATTTATCCTCAACACACTGTCTTTTCTTGTCATATTGTGCCATGGAAGCCATATACCAGGAGGGTTGCATTAACGGCTAAGGTGAAGTATAGATAAGAAATTATTTCCCAAAGGTAATATTGTAGTCGGTGGATTTTACATATTCAATCAAATGTTCAGATTACATTGAATTATTTCCTTCTTTATTTTTGAACTTAGCTCCTCGAGGGGATTCTTTCTCTCCATTTTTCATAGTACACATCTGGATGAATGACACGTGTCTTCATTTATTAACAAGTGTTAAAATTAATCAAATTTAAAATAATTATATCCCTTCTTAATAAATAAAAACACATATCATATATTAGATGTGCATTGTCAAAAATGGAAAAAGAATCTATTGGAGAGGAGCTAAATCCCTTTATTTTCTTTTTCCATTACATCTTAGCGTCATACTAAGACTCTTTCTTAGTAACGGAGAAAGAAGGAAAGAAAAACGAGCAAGATGGCCACCATGGTCTCTTTTCTCTGTTTATGTGTATGTCTTTTCGGCTTTTTTTCGATAAGCTATCAAGCGGAAAACCCAAAACAAAGAAAACCGAAACAATTTCCGACTCTACACATTGAATATGTTTATTCTTCAGTTTTCATGGTCTAACGAGGAAAGTACAAAAAAGCAGTTGAAACCTGTGTGATCATGCACTAACCTCATTCCATTGTAAATCAAAGAATATCCCTATGAAGATTACTTCAAAACAGTTTGAACAATGTTAAAGCGAGCCAAATGTAGCAAATATGCGAGTTTCATTATTCACATCTATTTTCATATGCACTGACTGATAGATATGAGATTAGCACGTCAATTATCATCGGCACTCCATATAACAACGTGCCTATGGGTTCAATTCAATCTTGGGGTTGGTCAATCATACTGTTTCACAAATTAATCTGCAAGAGTCTACAAGTGAACTGGGCAGTAAATATACGTTATCCTTACAGCTAAGATGATAGATACGCTTTTTTCTTCTAATAATCAAGTAACATATAGCTTATTGATGTGAAGACTAAGCCATCTGTTAATCTCAAAGTCAATCGGGCAGTAATTAACTACACATATTTTACACCTAACAGCTAAGGAGATAGATGCATTTTTTCTTTCAAGAACCAGGTAATTAACATTGTCCTTAAGCCATCTGTCAATTGTAAACAATTTTTGTGGATTTATGAAAAGAGCCACAGCTATGCATACTATACATTTGCTTATTTCTTGTTTTCTTTCGCTTAAGCAACCTGCTCAGGAGGCAAACTAGCTATAGGGAGAAATCCCGAAGTTAATGTAACTTAGGGCACATTCTGTGCTCTATAAATATAAATAAGATTCAAACTCCCAACTTGTCATTGAAGAAAGTATTAAATTCAAATGTTTGAATAGGTTGGAATATCATTATTTAGAAAGTGTACGAAGAATCAGTATTGTCCATATGTCCTTTACACAACTTAACTTTTCTCTTCTATGGATATAAATTTCTGTGTCTTGTACAAAGATTAGATGTACGTACCAAGATTGCATTATGATATTAAACAATGCTGTTTTACTGAACTTGCGTGACGTTGGCTCATGTTCAAACTAATCAAAAAGTTGAGAAAGTCATTTCCTTGGCCTTAGCAATTAAAAATTCGTGATAGTATGATACCATATGAGGAATCTAAGTAGGTTTAATTTTCTATAAATCCCTTCTCAGGTATTCATTGAAGTCCACTACTTTGTTCATGGTAAGAGATGACGTCTTTTTCCTCAACCTTCTTGCAATTTGCCATTCTCCAATTCCTCTTGTACAAACTCCTCAGCTGTGAAGGACCCAAAGATCCATCCAAGGGCTTCATTTCTTTGCCTTTTAATACATCGTTTTACCACATTCAGAAGCCATATGATGTGCCTGTAGATCAAAGATACAAGTTTGTAGATGGAGTTCACTATTTGTGGGTTTTTTCAACCGACAAACCACACACTCCCACTAGTCATACAAAACCTCGAACCGAGATTGGGATACAGGTATGAAAAATTCTATTGCCTATCCATTCTTTGACAAAAATATGCTCAAATGTAGAAAATTGTTCATACCAGTAGGTTTGGATACATAACAGGTAACATTCATATAATTTTTAGATACTCTAAAATTCTTTCCAACATTCGACACCAATATGAATTTTATTTTCGCCAATTCTTGTAGGGGTATGACTATTCTTCAGGTGTATGGCAATTTGAAGGGGATTTTTACGTGCCATCGGGGACATCAGGTGTCTGCATCATGCAAGTTTTCGGGGCAACTGCTCCTCATGCCACAACTCTGATGCTTAGGGTTTACAATGGCTCACTCTTTTACTATACGGATTCTGTTCTGGTTCCAAGCGTCTGTGACAAGTGGTTTCATCTAAACGTGGTTCATGATGTTTTAGCTGCAAAAGTGAAGGTTTTCATTGATGGCTGTCTAAAGATTGTCGCAGATGGCCGTGGAGGTACCTCACATACTTTCAAATGTGGTGTTTATGCTCAAAATGAGGATTCTTATCGCATGGAATCACGATGGAAGGACATAGAAATTCTAAAAATAAGAGATTAATGTTGTATTTAAGATGGTTTTTCTTTTGTAATGCGGAATAATATAGTGGTTCATTAATGATTAAACATTATTGGTGTTTGTTTGTTGTGTTGTTGTTTGAGGAAATTATGCCAAATGGGATTACCACATATACTTTGATGTCAATATAAACATATTTTTGAGTAAATTTGTTGTGTAATAGCATATGACACAAATCTCTAGAGGGAGAAGAATATTATCATAAGAACTGTTTTTCTGGAGTCTTAAAGCCGTGGTTTGCCTTTGGTTTGATCTTTGAAACCAATCAGAATAGAATATGAACACGCAAAAATAATTTGTGGTTTCAAATCTAGAGTCTATTGCCCTTTTTTTTTTTTTCTTTTGGGGTGAATCAAAGTCAAGGTCATTTCAGGGGTATAATTAAGATTAATAAGGAAAACAAGAATTCATCATTTGAGGACAAGGAGAAAAAGTTCTCTAATCACAGAATTATTCTGGATTCTTGTATCCTTATATTTACCTAATCCACCCACTACAAAAGTTTACTCTTTGACCAAAATATCTTAATTGATTTCTATCATATTTTAATTGACCATTAAGACCAAAAAAAAAAAAAATTAAAGTCATTTTTATTTTTCAGAGGGTTTTAATTTCCGAATGCTGCATTACCTATGTTTTGAAGTCAGAATTTTATTCCATGAGAAATTGAGATGGTAACCATTAGCGGAGTAACTTTCTAATCCATGTCTGCCAATAAATATAGAATTAATTTTTCATCAACTACTAGTTACTAGTGTAAAGTTTTCTTTACACAATCTATAGCTTAAATGGGTAATACATGTAAAGAAGATGCTTATAAACTTGAATGGAGAATATATGCCTCGCATCTAAACCCACTAGTATAAATAAATCTTCAACTATCACGTAAGAAATAATTTTATCGATTAATAGAGTTTTCTATTGTTAGCGACACTTATCGAACTGCTCATCCAAGTTTTCTAAAATCACATTTGCATATGCTACATATATAGCAAGGCATTGATGCAATTAAAATTATCCTAATGGGCTGACAGCACTGATTTGGCACGAGGCATTTTCCTCTCCAAGAGAAATCTCTTGTTAGTAAATGTTTTTTTTTTTTTTAAATGTCAAAACAGTATTTTCTTTTCTCTATACACAAAATGAGAAGTTAGGCAAGTTACTTTAAACATGCCAAGTGAAATATTCGCTTCACGTCACACTATTATAATTATATATTCTCAAAAACATATCACATTTATGTCAAGATTAAAAATCAAAATTTCTCTTTTCATCCTCGACTATCATACACAGGATTTGAAATCTGAACTTGACAGTAAAGAAAATTTTGAAAATGCTCCGCTAGCATTTCATTGAACTTACAACCCCACTTGAGTAAAAACTTATGTAAACTGCTAGTGCATAAAATTTATATTCCTTTTGCATGTGCTAAACAATACTTCAAATTCATTGATTAGATAAGGATGGAAAGACCGCAAAAAATGTATCATTTTTAGGTATGTGAAATTGCTTGGTAACTCTTTGATAATCACTACCATGATGTTGTAGACCCGCTTGCATTTATATGCCAAGTTTCGTTTATCTTTTTCTTAATCCAGCCAACTTATTTTCAAAGACACGAAATTCACCATTATATTTCAAAGACTTGTATCAAGTCTATCTTCATGATAATTTCGTGGCACTAATGCATTCAAAGATGGTCTAAATGCGTACTTAGCTAATGTCTGATGTTATGCATCAGTGCACTTCTTTACCATAAGAAGAGGTTGACAGAGCTCAATGTGCAGCATTTTTGTTTTTGGCAAGAGCCAAGAGAATAGATTGCAAGAGAAACACACGGGCAAAGTTAGTTTGGCTTCCAGGCTTCAACTCTTTCAAGCTAGCTTATTTCTCAATCTGGCAACCTTAATAGCTATCATCACATAAATCTTGTCGCTCCATTTGTCCAAAAATTGGAAGTATGCATATCGACAGGATCTAGACAGCAGCAAAGTGATCCAAAATGCCCAGAAGCTAACAGCAAATCCAGCTGCCAGACCAAAATAGAAAGATGTTACTTCAAAACCATCGTTTTTTACTTCATCTTGTAAGCCCTTGTTCTCAATCCTGCAAGAAAAATCGTTGTAGAGAGGTTTCGAGCAGTCTTCAGTGAGGGGAAGCCCACAAAGGTGTTGATTGCCAATAAATGATGATGCATCAGGAGAAGCCATTGGGAAGCCAGAGGGAATCTTTCCTGACAAGTTGTTATAGGACAAGTTAAAACGAGCAAGAGAATGAAGAAGAGATATGCTGGTCGGAATTGAGCAAGAGAGGGAATTCCTGGAGAGATCAAGATACTCCAACAATTTCATTGTACCAACATCAGGTGGAATTTCTCCTGTAAGATTGTTGTTTGACAACCTTAAGAAAGTCAAGCCAACAAGGCTGGTGATTTCTCCAGGGATATCTCCTGATAAATGATTGTGTGCAAGATCAAAAACCATGAACTTTGAACTGACAGGATTCATTCTGATCAATACGTTCAACAGAGCCTTCCTATATACTGTGTAGGGGTCATAGATAAAAGATTTGTCTGCCTCCACCATAGCCATGGTAAGAAAATTGTCGATACACCTTGGAATCTTTCCTGATAAAGAATTGCCAGCAAGGTTAAAGTATTTAAGGTCTTTAAGTTGGCATAGCTGCAATGGGATGTTTCCATCAAATTCGTTGTATGATAACTGGAGAATCATCAGATTTCCCATATTTTCCCCAATCCATTCTGGTATTTTGCCAGATAGAAAATTGAGTCCAAGATCCATGACATATAAATTTGTCAAGTACTTCAACGATGCAGGAAGTTCACCAGAGAGTGCATTTTTACCAAGGATCAGTGCCTTGAGATGAACTAAATGTCCAGCTGAGTTTGGTATCATGCCAGATAAGTTATTGTATGCCAAATTCAGAACAACCAAGTTATTCCCTTGAGTCCAGCAGTCAGGAATGGATCCAGACAAGGCATTCAATGATAAATCTAGATAACTCAAAGAGTTATTCACAACAAGAGATTCACATATAGGGGATATGGTTCCAGTGATCATATTTTCAGCTAGAATTAGGGACATCATGCTCAAAGAAAAATGAGGCAAGGGTCCAAAAAAACTGTTGTTGCTCATGTCTAGTACAGAAAGATTAAGTTTTGATGAAAAATCTGGCAGTTTTCCTCCTAGATTGTTAGATGACAGATTCATGTACTCAACCTTCATTGAGATATTCCAAAACCAATCAGGCACAATGCCTGAAATGTTATTGCTGGAAATATCAATTGACACGAAGTCTTTCTGTGTTTGTAGCCATCTGGGAAAATCCGGACCTATTTGGCAAGACTGCAACCCTATGGTATCAAGGTCAAAAGGAGGTGTCCAATCTGAGCTGATATTGACCATAAATGAATTAGAAGACAAAACTAATACTTGCAAGTGACTAAAATTCAGAAAATCTTCAGTAATTACACCATCCATGGAATTCGAAGCAAGATCCAGGACTTCTAATTCTGAAAGCTGTGCAATGCCTGGTGGAAGAGACCCCTTAAGTTGATTATTGGAGAGATACAATTCTCTCAACGATGGCCTCGTACTATTGTCGTCATCTGCGATCAAGCCTAACGTTTTGGGAAACTCTCCTGCCAGATAGTTGTCTGAAAGATCAAACATGGTGAGGTAACTCATGCTTTCAAAAGCATCAGGGATGGAAGCTCGCAACTGACTTCTTTGAAAATTAATGACGCTAAGACTCTGGCTGATATTGAAGAGCCAATATGGCATGGGAGAATTGAATTTGTTAAAAGAGAGATCAAGAATCTGAAGCTGTGTGAAATTTATAGCAGATAGTCTCAAGGGAAGTGTGTTGAGTTCACAGGCAAAAAATCCTAACTTCACCAAAGAAGGCAGCATGTTAACAGCATCAAGCCAATTAACAACCAAACTAAGATCCACACCACCTAATTCCAGTACTTTCAAGGAGGAGAGACCATGAAGCCAGTCAAGCTTGTTTGCTCTAAGAGCATATTCATTACCACTTAGATCAAGGTATTGCAACTGGGAAAGGTTCCCAAGATGATCAGGAATCATTCCTCGAAAATTGGCATTAGACAGGTTTAGATACTCTAGATTTTTCAAAGAACCAATAAATTCAGGAACCTGTCCCTGAAGAAAATTATTAGAACTCAAGTCCAGGTAGCTTAAATATGGCAAGTCAAGTAAAGAATCACTTACTTGATCACCTTGCGAGTTTTCAGCTGGACCATGACCACGAAGATCGAGCATTGTAACATGCCATTGACCAGTTTGATTACTGCACATCACACCTCTCCAGTTGCAGCAATCTTCTTCAGTAATCCAAGAGGAAAAACGGTCCATTGAATTACTGCAATCTTCTCTGAACTTGACCAAAGCACTTTTTTCACTTTGATTGCAACGAACAACTAGATTGCCTTGGCTTGAGCTCAACGCACTTGACTTAACACAAGAAAGTACAGCCACAATAGTCTTAAGAATCAAGTATACAGTTCCCATGACCAAAATTCAGAATTCTAAACCTTCAATGTGTTCGAGCTGAAAGTAAGAATGTCGGTTCGTTTAATGGCCTACTTTATTTGTGAATTGTGAAATCAGAGAAATAGTGCGTAATTTTTTATTTGTGACAAGAAGACTCTTCAGTAGGACCATGTAAGAGTAAACCAGTCGGCTGGTCAAGTCAAGTTTATTAAATTAAGCAGACTCAACATAACAAGTACACGGCAAATAAACACGGTTCTTCAGTCTTCAATACGACCATGAGCATCTTAATCATAAACATTTCTTCTTTATGACGAAAAAAATAAAGTGAACCGTCTTCTTTCTGATTTCAAAGAAAAAGAAACAGCCGAGGTATCCTCTGTTATAACGATAAACGAGAGGAATAAAAATGTCTCTGCCGTGCCAACCCAAATTTGCCAATATTTCTTTTGGCTCAATATTTTGCAAGTGTCCTAACTCTGATGATGTAATTTGCAATAAATTTTCGTTTGGCTGTTAAAACTTCATAAAGAATTTGAGTCAGGATTGAACTTTCCAGTAGCATTCACATAAAACCGCGTTTAGAGTTCCTTCACATTTTATGAAGGCTGGTGTGGTGATGATTGTGTGCTAATGCTTATGAGCCACATCTATCTTTTCTTTTTTGTGGGAAAATAACGTAAAGAGGAATGCTGCTGCTTGTTATCCTGGTAACTGGAATTCTGAACCTGCTAAAGCTTGTATTTGCATGACGACATGTAAGCCAATGAAACCCACCATGAATGATCATTCACCGGATGGTTCATGCAAGAAAGGACAGATATATACCAAAACAATTTGAGGATAGGCAAAGAAGAAACAATTGGGATAAGCCAGATGCTTTTTCCAAATACTTTTATGCAAATGTTATTGACATTAAATTCAAGAGCGAATTGAAGGGAATTCGTATGTTTCCCACTGACATCAACTTCCAATAACTAAACCCACCTTGACATCGAGTTTTCTCCCCCCCCCTCCCCCCACCCCCACTCCCGCGAGATGGCAATTGGGGCGGGCGGACACTGCCTGTTTAAAATAATTATATGTTATTAATTATACTAATAATTATGTATTTATATTAATACAAATTATTGATTAATTATATTAATATATTTATACTAAATTATTAATTATACATTTATGCTAAATTACTAATTATATATTTTTATTAATTATAAACTTTTCCCCCCACAGGTGCCCGTGGAGGAAGTGAAGCAGGGTGAAGTCCTTCCCCGCTCTATTGCCATTCCTACCCTCCTCACCCCCACCCCAAAACACAAAAAACACCTAACCAACCTGCCTAGGAATGGCAATAGAGGCAAGTGCCTTGCGGGAGAGTAATGAGGCTAGGGGTGGGGCAGAGCGATTTTTCGCCCTTTTTGGTAGATTTATACAAAAAAATTTTGAGTTAGTGATTAGACGCACCTCGTTTAGGCTTCGTTTGGGAGTGGATGATTTGAAGAGAAAAGAAGGGAAAAGAAGAGAAAGTGAACATTTCCTTCGTTTGTTAGTTTTTATTAGGAAAGAAAAGAAGAGAAATGGAAGGATTTAAGAGAATCAATAGTAAGTAAAAGTTTTCCTCCCAAATTGGAGAGAAATGAAGAGAAAGTTGGAAGAAACTTATGAAAGTTTTTCAAAATACCTATTTTATCCTTAAAAATGTCTTGAACAAATATTTAATGACTTTTATATCCAAAATTATTCCATTAATTCTCAAAACTCCCAAACAACACAATAATCCCTTCTCTTCTCTTCTCTTATAACTTAAGTTTTCCCTTCTTCTCTTTTCTATCCTAAACTCCCAAACTTAGATTTTCCATACAATAGCCCATCAAATTAGTATTTTCGCCCTTTTTGGTGGATTTATACGAAAAATTTTTGAGTTAGTGATTAGACGCACCTCATTTAGATTTTCCATACAATAGCCCATCAAATTAGTATATGTTTTAATTTTTTGGGTCCAATAAGTCAAGGAAAAGAATAAGTGGAATTCACCAAAAGAATATTTATTTTGAAAAATTATTGCATGAAAAATGAAGCGAAGTATAGACTTTTTATAAAGTAAAAAGAAATGAGGTTTAAAAAAAGAAAGCAAAAATACAAAATTCAAGAAAACGTAAAATGAAATTTATTAGATATTTGGACCGTATCAAAATAGCCATAACTTATTTTAGTCCCACCCATATTGATTGATTGCATGACCTTTGTAGAAAGTTCGGCGCAAATTCCACCCACCCATCGGCGGAAACCCGTTTACTATCTCTAGGACCATGCAAGTCAGCCGGTCATGCCAAGTTTATTAAATTAAGCAAACCGATGTCCGTCTTTGTACCATAAGCATCTCAATCATAAAACATTCTTTTACTATCTTCTTTTTTATTTCGAGGAAATGGAAACAACGAGGGATCCAAATCAAACGTGACGGGAATGACAGGAAAAGTCTCTTTAAAGACCAGCATTAAGGGCGTTATAACTAACGGTGACAATGGAGCAAGGTTGGGGCGGGAACGGGTGCAGGTGATTGTCAAATAACTCTCCAAATAACTCCCCCGATCCCCTGCCTTCTATCTTCCACCCTGTCCTCACCTCTTGAATCGAATCTCTTTAAAAAGAAGAATTTTTGTCTCACGGTAGCTTGCTCCAATCCCCTTACGAAACTTTCGTTATTGGGTTAGCCATACACTTCACATGTTTCTGGCGATTCACATGACACCATCAAATGATACAAGTCTTGGATAAGAATCTACAACGCACTAGAACGCCCTTGTTGACGATCCTTTACTCCGACATCATCTAGGGTTCCTCGAACAATGTGATATCTCACACCGGGTAAATCCTTAACCCTTCCCCCTCTTACTAAGACTACAGAATGTTCTTGTAAATTATGACCAATACCGGGTATATAAGCAATGATATCAAATCCAGAAGTTAATCGTACTCTGTCAACTTTTCTCCCGCGGTCTCCTGCTAGGGAAGAAACCAATGTACCATATTTAACAATCTATTTATGTACGGGACAATTTTATCGTTCATTTTATGTCAAAATATTCAATAAAGACATACTCAAGTACACAATTTTAGACCATTTAACGAATTGCAAATACTAATAACAAATAGAAAATTAGCAACCACCAATACCATAAAAATGATATTAAAACATCCAATTAAGATGTAATAGGATCAAGTCACAATTATATGTTCACAATTATGTTATTAATTATATTGTTAAATATAAAGAATTGGATTATAACTAAATCATTATATTGTGTGCATATATACATCCATAAATTTAAATATATATATATATAATTTTTTTTCTATACGAGGGACGGGACGAGAGATAAGGCAGGTGTATATTGTCCCGCCCCCACCCCATTTTAGGGCTGGGCTATCCCCGTGGCCACTTAGTTATACTTATAACGATGATGGAGAGGAATAGAGAAAAACTCTACTAGTTGTAATCCTCTGCCGTCCCAAATTTGTCAATATTTCTTTTGGCTCAATATTTTGCAAGTGTTCTAACTCTTATAACTATGTAATTTGCAATAAATTTTTCTCTGGCACTTGTGAAGTACATAAAGAATTTGCTTCAGGATTGAACTTTCCAGTAGCATTCACAGAAACTGCGTATAGAGTTCCTTCATATTTTATGAAGGCTGGCAATGACTCTGTACTAATGCTTATGAGCCACATCTATCTGTTACCTTTTGGAAAGTTAATAAGAAACAAAAGAGGAATGCTGCTGTATTTGATCCCAGCAACTGGATTCTGATCCTGTTAAAGCTTAACCTCGTTGCCTTAGACATATAAACCAACAAAATCTACCATCCCTCTCTGCCAATTCAATTTAAAGTTGCCAAATAAAGAATGCAGAAACGATAGGGGAAGCCAAGCCAGGCGGTCTTTCCAATTATTATTATTTTTTTATGCAACTGTTATTGACATCAGATTCAAGAGCAAATGGGAGCATTTCCATTGGAGGGAATTCATTTGTTTCCCCTTTGACATCAAGTTCGAACTACCACTTCAAACCAAGAGAGTTCCAATACACAGCAACAACAGAGGCCTTATAGCAATTTATCAGTCACTTAGGGACTGGCCAGAGAATTCGCCACATCAACCACGAATCGATACCTGACGTCAGACTTGGCGAGCCGTTCCATTGCTGAGTTAATTTGATCCATGCGGATAAGTTCAATGTCAGCAGCAATGTTGTGCTTTGCACAAAATTCCAGCATCTCCTGTGTCTCTTTCATGCCTCCAATCTCACTTCCCCCGACAAGTTTCCTTCCTGTAAAAGCATTGAAGTTGATAATACATAAGATGAGGCTGCTATGACCGTATCAGTCTTAAAAGATTGCAGTTGAACAAGTCATATATCATATATCACTGAGGCAGACTGTTCTATTAATATTTTATTTCTACAGTTGTGTTTATGAACCATCTAAACAGAAACTGTGTGCCCGCCAACTCAATAAGACATTAAAAATCACATCAGATTTCTGGGAAATCGCAAAAAAGTACTCGGTGTGAAAGGCATATATCACTATATTGTATGGGAAATTGCAACTAAGCTTCATGAGATTTTTGATAGTTGTAACGCATGTCACATGTCATACATAACAGAATTAGGATTTCAGGAAAATGTGTTCATGCACATTACAAGTGCAACTACATTGACTTAAAGTTTCGTCCTTAAATCAGCATCCAGTGTTAACTGAACAGAACACTCAACAAGCCTAAAATTTATTGGAAGGCCGACAAAGGGAAGCCAACAGACTTCACAACCTAAAAATGTGACAAAGAAAGTTTCTGATCAAGTTAATACTGGGAATTCCCATGCTATCTTCACTGTCATTTGGCTGAGAACCAAATTTGAATGCATTAGAAACATACTCAAGTCTTTCAAAAACTATAGGGAAAGCAAATCCAGTGCTAGAACTGTCAATGACAGGAATATCCATGTCATGTTCTTTACAATGGAAGGTGACTTAAATGATTATCCGACTTACCCAGAACTAAAGGGAAGATGGGCAGCTCTAGGGGCTTATCAGGCAGGC